CTAAAGTGACTCTGGCTTACTTACACTACACTCACAGTAGGTCTAAGTACACCTAACTTGAAACCGAACCAAGTAGGCTATGTTACTGTCACAAAAATCACAGTTGGAAGCCGGATGCAGGTAAGTCAGACTCCCCCCTCACCGCCCCCCCAGCACAAGCAGGGCATAAAATGAGACCCTACATAAAGGATAACAAATGCAAAGTGGGACTGGAAAGGGGGCTCCCTTTGTAGGGATATGGCTTAAGCGGTGTGGGCGTGGCTAGGGTGGTGGGGTGGTTTGGTTGGTGGGGGCGTGGCTCTGCTTCACAAGCATAAGGTGCTGAGTTGGATCCTCAATACTACCCAAAAAGAGAGCGGGAGGCGGGGAGGAAAGTATCAGAATCACAGTCACAGAAGCAGGGATGAGAGGTTGAAGAGAAGGACGGGGTGATAAGCCAAGGACGCAAGAAAAGGTACAGAGATGGACTCTACCCAGAGCCTCCTGAAAGACTGAGCCTGTCCACCCCTTGACTTGAGCCTAGTGAGGCCCATTTTGGGCTCAGGGACTGGAGAATTGGAAGTAGCACGTGTGTCGCTTTAAGCCACTAAGTCTGTAATATCAATAAGGGCAGCAAGGGAAAACCAACAGAGCCTGTAGCATGGCTGAGCCCTCCCCCAGTTCTCTACAAGAATTGAAAGAAACTGTGCAGCCTGGGATGGACAGACAGCCTCCCTGCCCCCGGGGATCCTATGGTCTAGGGTAGGCAGCCATTACCAGACCACTCGTTATGGGATTTACTGATGGCAAACCTCCTTCATAAGAAAGCTGACTCTAGCTGGGTGCTGGTGGCTCACGCCTGTCATCCTAGCTACTCAGGAGGCTGAGATCTGAGGATCGCAGTTCAAAGCCAGCCCGGGCAGGAAAGACTGTAAGACTCCTATCTCCAATAAACCACCAGAAAACTGGAAGTGGTGCTGTGGCTCAAGTGGTAGAGCGCTTGCCTTGAGCTGAAGAGCTGAGGGACAGCGCCCAGGCCCAGAGTTCAAGCCCCACGACTGACAAAAAAAAAGAAGAAAGAAAAAGAAAAAGAAAGAAAAGAAAGCTGACTCTGCCAGGCACTGTGGCTCACACCTGTAATCCTGGCAACTTAGGAGGCTGAGATATGAGGATCTCCATTTGAAGCCAGCCTAGGCAGAAAAGTCCAGAGTCTTTTTTTTTTTTTGTCGGTCATGGGGCTTGAACTCTGGGCCCGAGAGCTGTCCCTCAGCTCTTCAGCTCAAGGCTAGTGCTCTACCACTTGAGCTACAGCTCCACTTCCTGTTTTCTGGTGGTTTATTGGAGATAAGAGTTTCACGGACTTTCTTGCCCGGGCTGTCTTTGAACCATGATCCTCAGATCTCAGCCTCCTGAGTATCTAGAATTACAGGTGTGAGCCATCGGCGCCCAGCTTGTGAGAGTCTTAACTCCAATTAACCACAAAACAACCAGAAATACAGCTGTGGCCCAAGCAGTAGAACACTAGCATTGAGCTGAAAGTGAAGGGACAGTGCCCTAGCCCTGAGTTCAAGCTTCAGCACTGGCATCAAAAAAAGAGAGAAAGACAGAGACAGAGCTAGGCACCAGTGGCTCACGCCTGTAATCCTCGCTACTCAGGAGGCTGAGATCTGAGGATCTCTGAGGTTCAGAGCCAACCTGGGCAGGAAAAGCCATGAAACTCTTATCTCCAATGAACCACCAGAAAACTGCAAGTAGCACTGTGGCTCAAGTGGTAGAACTCTTGCCTTAGCTGAAGAGCTGAGGGACAGCGCCCAGGCCCAGAGTTCAAGCCCCATGACAGGCCAAAAAAAAAGTTCTAGGTGCTGGTGGCTCATGCCTGTCATCCTAGTTATTCAGGAAGCTGAGATCTTAAGATCACAGTTCACAGCCAGCCAGGCAGGAATGTCTGTGAGACTCTTACCTCCACTAATAAACTTACCAAAACAAAACAAAACAAAAAAAAGACAGAAGTGGAGCTATGGCTCAGAGTGGCAGAGTACCAGCCTTGAATGAAAAGGCTAAGAGAGAACGAAAAGTCCTGAGTTCAAGTCCCAGCATATGCTGGCACAAAATCAAACAAAAAAAAAACATAAAAAATGCCTTTAAGTATAGAACAAAAGAAAAGAAAAGAGGAGCTGGGAAGGTGGCTCAGTGGTAGAGCACTTGCCTTGCATGCATGAGGCCCTGGGTTCAATTCCTCAGAATCATATAAGCAGAAAAAGCCAGAAGTGGGGCTTAGGCTCAAGTGGTAGAGCGCTAGTCTACAGCTGAAGAGCTGAGGGACAGCGCCCAGGCTCAGAGTTCAGGCCCCACAAATGACAAAAGAAAGAAAGAGAGAGAGAGGGAGGGAGGAAGGAAGGAAGGACAAAGAAAAGAAAAGCAAAGGCCTGTAGTGTGCAGAGGTCAGTGAGGTGGGAGCGTGGGGTTGGGCAGGCTTGCTTGTGCATACCTGTGCACAGTGCATAGTTTCAGGGGCTGAGTGAATTCTCATGGGCAGCCACAGAACAAGAGGCTGAGGCAGGAGGGTCACAGGAGGTGGAGGCCACAGTGAGAAAGGAAAGGGAAGAAGGCGGGCTGGAAAGCCTGCAGGCCCCACGGCCAGAGGGGCGCCATCAAGCCAGCGCCTCCCACAGCAAATGGGAAAAGGATTTGGGGAATGATGTCAGAACCCTAAAGAATGATTTTGCTGCTCCCAGGTGGGTACAATGCCTCATTTCCTAAAACCCTGGGGGCCATGTCATCGAGGAACCCTGCAACATGGCAGAGCGAGTTGCCAGGGTAATGTTCTAAAGTGTACAAGCTAAGCATCGCCCACTCCCAGCAGAAGTGGCTCAGGAGATATTGGGGGGGGAAGTAGCCCAGCTAACCAAGGTTGAGGGTCATAGACACCGATCACCTAAGTCCCGCTGTGGAGGCAGGGGTGGGGAGTCAGGGGGCACAGGAGGTACCACCCCACACCTGTGTCCGCAAGTATGACAGTGCACACCTGGGCGGAGCCTAACTCTGTCTAAGGTGAGCTCTTCCAGGACACCAGAGAACTTTCAAGACTCTTTGGTGTCTAAGACAAACTGAGGGGGATCAGGGCAGAGCCACGGGGGGCCTCTTGATGCCTGTAAGAATGTGTAGGTTGTCATAGGAGCAGCCAAGGGGCGTCCTGGCACTTTATAGGAACATTCCGGAAAATCCTCTAGCAGTTCGTTAGCCTTGCTCAGGTCTCTGCCCCAGGCGTGGCTGGTCCACGTCCAAATCACACTCCAAGTGGCAATGAAGTGTTGGCCGGGCCAGAGCCAAGAGACGCCATGCGTAGCTCTGATTGCCTTAGAGACGGTTGCTCTGGGAAGGGATTTTTAAGATCGCAGACAGGCTTCTGGGAGAAGAGAGAGGAAGAGAAGAGATGGGGACACCTTGGGCCTCAGGGAAGAGACCTCCTCCGGAGACTTCCACAACAGGACCCACCTGCACCATTCTCAGAACTCTTGCCAGCCACCCCAGCTTCAAAGGGAGCAGAGAGCCCCCTGAAGCCACAGCCTCCTTTAGTCTCTGAAGTGATTTCTAGAGCTGGCCTGGTGGGTGCAAAGCACAGACAATGATGGCTTTGCTCCAGGATTTGTTTGGGGTTTTTGTTTGCTTGTTTTAGTGATAGAACTCAGGTCTTAAGCACTGCCCCTGAGCTTTCTTTGCTCAAGGATGATCCTCAGATCTCAGCCTCCTGAGAAGCTAGGATGACAGGAATGAGGCACTGGTGCCTGACTGGTGGAAGTTTTAGTTGGTTGCATCCTCTGATGCAAACCCCCGGGGTGCAGGTTAGCACGTTTCTGTGCTTGGACTCATGGTAGCCATCTCATCCTGCAACTTGCAGAGCTTGTTTTCTAAACTGTTCTCATATGGAAGTGTGCAGCCCTGCTGTTAAGGGGCGTTGGGAGATTTCCCCTAACAGAAACGTGGAGGAAGTATTTCCAGACAAAAAGAAGGGAAGTTCATTTGCATGTGGACTTCTGCAGACATTGTTACGCTTTCCCTGCGACCATCTTCTGGCGCCGTGCAGTGTCAGTCACTTCCCCCCCCCCACACAAAATGTCTGTCTCCTTGCTGAAAGGCATGGGAGGGGAGGAATTCGAGAGCATTCGGGGAGTGGGGGTCGGGGTGGGGAGGGGAGGGGAGGTTGGTAACTGTGAAGGACCAAAAAGAGCCTGGGCCTGTCTCTTCTATAGGCATAGAATTTGGGGAAAGAAGGCACAGGGATCGGAGCCACAGAACTTGGGGGACCTTACTGGGCCTCATTTAAAGATGTCCTATTTGTTAGCCAAGCGCCAGTGGCTCTTGCCTGTAATCCCAGCTACTCAAGAAGCTGAGATCTGAGGATCACAGTTCAAAGCCAACCTGGGCAGAAAAGTCTACCAGACTCAGCTCCAATGAACCACTAAAAAGCTGGAAGTGGAGCTGGCTCAAGTGGTAGAGCGCCAGCCTTGGGCACAAAAGTTCAGGGACAGGGCCCAGGCCCCG